GATTCGTCCACTCGTATAGGAAAGCTAAGGTAGATCTAATTCAGTTGTGAAGCACGCATAAGAAAACATCTACCCTGAGAACCAGTTGTGCAGTCCTCGCCACGCGAACGAAAACCTGCCAGCGAAACAGACTGGTTGGTTCCGAGCCCGCCCGCCATTCGCTGCCGACTGGCTGGGGTGCTGAACCGAGACCTGAACTTGTTGGTTAAAGCGTTGCACGTCGATAATCTGCTGCACATTCAGTAATGTCAAGACAGCGTCAAAAAATGAACGTACCGCTGTTATCAAAGGCGATCTTCCATACGCGAGTTTCCAATGATTGTTCTAGACACTTGCACGCTCGTACTGCCACTGTATTTACAGCAGAGAAGATACTTGGCGGTCGTCAAGCCTGCCCACCAGGTTTCGGCGGAACATCATCGGCGTAAGACGTTCATAGCACAATTGCTCGCTCAAAAGTCACGTATCTAGAAGGAAAGGCTGGTAACAACATGGAGTTGATTGATGGGGTCCGTATGTTAAATGTTCAGATCCATGTGAGAAATCTATAAATATCATAAGAAAAATCACCGAAAAGAAGGGGAAAGTACACGTACCAGTCAATCTCGTCCAGAAAGCAGTCGTAATGATAAAAGTAGGGTAGCGTTAAGGTCGAAAGGAATCCAGAGTCATCGACGAAGGCCCAGCATAGTCGAAGAACATGGTGCGGACATGAGGACAGCAAGATTCGCGTGCCTCGACACTAGTCAGACTGCACGGGAATGGTGCCGTCAAGGAATAGGCAGTTAGCGGTTATGCCAGGCCTATTGTCCTTATGGTCGCAGAGAGCGGTCAAGTAGCGGAAAAGCTGCGGGACATCGCACTACAAGACCTTCGGAGTCACGCATCTCAATTCTTGAGCTCACGATCACTCAGAAGACTTCAGAACGGCGTTGTCATTGATCAGAATAAGCAGAAATATAATCTAAACTATACTGAGTCAGAAGTGTCGTTATTAAGGTAAAAGATGTCAACGCACCATCAAGTACACAATGCAAAAGCTGAATGAATCCGCCGTTGTGCCTTACTCTGTATCGAGGACATGAGATGTAAAGTTCTACCAACGGAAGGGGGAACTCACCCAATAAAGCCCTTACGAGGAACAAACGAACTACGATGTGTTGTGCGCCAAGCGAAAGCACGCGTAGGGGAGGCGTATGTGTATCCGCGCAAGAACGTCAAAAATAGATATATGCAGAATAGCATCGTCGACAGCCAGGCAGCCAGATAGGTAGGACTATGCAGGACAGCGCATCGGGGGAGGCTGGGGGTAGATAAAGGCATCGGACACGACGAATTCGCTGTCGTGCCTTATTCTGTATTGAAGATATGAGATGTAGAGGTCCATGAACGGAATGGGGAACTGACCCAGGAAAGCCCTTACGAGGAACGAACCATGACCTGTTATGAGCCAAGCTAAGGAAAGGGTAGGCGCGGCGCATGTGTACCCGCGTAAGAACGTTAGAAGTGGATGTATGCGGAATTGAGTTGTCCAGAACCAGAAGTAACGGTAGCGGGTAGGTAGGTAGGCAGGACTAGATGACACGGTCCATAAGGTGATGCCGGGCATAGATAATGGCATCGTACAGATTGAATAATCCGCTGTCGGGCCTTTCTCTGCGTCGAAGATGTAAGATGTAAGAATGTATGAACAGAACAGGTGAGCAGACCTGGAAAAAGACGTAGACATTCTTTGAGAAAACGATGGGCGGTACCATTTCCCGCATCAAGCCTAGGCAAGTGAGGGAGACGGCCATGGGTATTTGCGTAAGAGCGCTGAAAAATGCATGCAACGAGCGTGGCTGAGGACCGGTGACATACTCTAGGCAGCAGGACTATCTTGCCCAATTAGAGGAAGAAAATCTCCGCAGCGCATAAGCATGAGAAGGAGACAGCTTCGAAATTACAACGCACTGAACAAGTACGCCGAGTTATTCCGCTCCAATGTTGCACAGCCTGTACACTGTTTACGCCATCAAGTCCTCTCCACGTTTGCGCGTATCGCGACGCTGGATGGGTCGGTCTTGTGCCAGTTCCGGGCGCGGTTCGGAGTCAAGGACGTCCTGGCGGGGTAAACTACAGCCTTTGTCGTATGGGGTTATGCGAGGAATTGCTAGATTATCAGAACCACATGAGTAAACAACGGATAAAGGTTAAATTTCTCGGGCTCACCTATAGTGAAGATTTCAGCCATCCTAGCTGGCTTGCGCTGGACCCTCTGATACCGTTGTAGGGTACTGAAGCGCGTCTGAGTCATCGTTAGATCATGAATCGAAGGTATCCATAAGAAAAAAAGTGAGCGCCGAGCGGTTGGGTACACGAGATGGACCTGTGAGGTGGAAGTGTAGTGAAGGTAGGAAAGGAAGAAGGAAGCCAAGGTCGGGCCGTGAATCACGTCACCTGTACCCCAAACATCCCACGCACGGGCCTGCGACGCGTCAGGACTTACGGAGCTTCGGCACGTTCTCTTTGTTATGATTTGTCTTCCTGACGTGCCTGAAGTAACGTTGATTCGTGACGAGTCACGACTTGCCTATCAGTCTCTTTCTTATGCTCTTCCGTCGCTGTATCCAAAATCCACTAACCGTCCCGAAGATTGTAAATCTGCCATATTCAGAGATGGTTCGAACGACGTTACGCAAACCGGTTACTCTCTTTCTTCGGGCATCCCCGTATCCCTCCTTTCCAGGCCATCACCATAACGTCCAGCAGCATCAAGGACCGCGGCGAGAAGCTCTCGATACTACGCTGGGTCTCTTGACTTTGTACATCCATGAGACTAGCCTAAAGTTCTCTCTGAATTCTTGTCTTGCCCTCGTACCTCCATAGGCATTCTCTCTCTCCCTCGGGTATTTCCCCACAGACAGCAGAGCTGGATGGTCTCCCTTGGTCAACAGCCCTAAGAATGAGCGCACAATTCTTACGTCTACTTCCAGCACTAGCTAACTGATATCTTCTCTCAGCAACGATGATGAGTCCCCTCAATTTATGTGCAATACAATTTCGGGGAATCCGTTCGATCTCCTCCCTCTTCCACGATACTCGACACGCCAAGGATGTACGGTCGTGAAGTTCGTACCTCTTTCTGTTGAACTGGTATCGGTCCTCTCGATTTCCCGTCCATCGACACGTATTTCAATGGCGCGGGAGTGGAAACAGACGCGACAAACACGCCTTTATTCTTTTCTATCGCTGTTTTTTATCTTTATAGCGCCAGAGACTACAGCATCGAAAGTTTTAATCTCCTCTGGTGTACCTCTCCAGAGTCGTTGACTTTGGACTTCTACGAGATGGCTGTTAGGTGTAGTTCCCCTTATGTACAATTTTCACGCGTCTTTTCTCGTAGTCTTCATTTCGCATGAATAATAATTCAGCGTTGGTTTTCCACTCATCATTCTGTCCGCCCATTGTTACCCTCGTGCATTCAAAGTCAAGACCGTCGCCTTAGGCTTAGTAACGAGTGCGCTTTATTCCAATTACCCCTCCTTCATTCGAGTACGCATCTCCCTTTGTTCATCGAATTATGAAGAATAACGAGCCGAATATCAACAGTTCACGGTGACGTTAGCCCACCGCAATATCGATCCCGGATGCATTTTCTCCATCTTATGACAGAGTTCCTCCTACTGTATCAGCACGAACAGCATCATCGTTTCCTAATGAAACCTTCTAGCTGGAACAAGCTTCGGATCAGCCACTTGACTTTATAACGCCTGGATCGTACGTCTACGAGACGTATGCTTTCGATCATGGGCTGATGGTTGATATGCAGGCCATTCACCAAGACAGCCGTGTATGTCCCCTTCCCCACCAAATTCGTTTCATTTTTCTCACCGATTACGGACGAAGGAAGAAGCCATACAACTGAACGCTGAAGTGATCCAGCCGGGACACATGCATAATGTTTTGTCCAATTTTCGTTTCCGAACATTCCTGTGAAGCTCCCCACCGCCCTCCGTGTCCAAATTCTTGTAAGTTCTTCTCTCACTCCGGATTATGTCTACGCCGCTTTGCTCACGCTATTCATTCATCACGAATGTCCCACCACAATTTCTGCCGAAGTTATTCTGTCCTCCTCATTTCAAGTATCTCCTTTCCACAAGTAAGCACTTTCTCCTTTCCCCGGTCTATGTTCCGCTGAGAAGATAACCAGGACGATCCCTCTTTCCTTTATCTGGGAGGATATTTTGTGATATCGTTCCCGCGTGAACGAAATAGATGGTCTTTTCATGAGGGTGCCAGTTTTTGGTCCACGTGCAGGAGAGGATCAATAATCAATAGTTTCCTCCAGGTGGGAAAACAGGTGTGTATTTTTGTTCCTTCGTGGTTTCGTACTCATACTCTACGAGGTACTAATATTGTCCTTCCACCTTTAGAGCCAGTGCGATTACATTCGCCTACGTATGCGTTATGTGAGCTATTGCCAAATGGATATGCACTAATGGACAGCTACAACTCATAGTCACGCCAATTTTCAATTTCTTCCTCTTAATCTGTCTGTTCCTCATCACGGCCAAAATAACGACCACTCTTCCGAAGAGATGCACACCATGTTATCTCAACGTTGTAACTTATGTTTTTTCCATCATTTAACCGCTCTGTGTTGTTGTGAGTGACTTAGTTCGAAAATGAAGCGGAAGATATGTCTCCCTTCTCAGTAATGCTTCATGCTTCGCATTAAAGACAGTGGTATAGACCTAGGGACACAAAAACAGTAACGAAAATGTTTTTCATAACTACAGACTCAGGAACAAAGCGAAATGCCATCAAGTATATCAGAGAATCATGTAGCGTAACTGAAACACGGTACAATAGTATGACAACAAGGTAAACGTATAGGCAAGAGATGAAAGAAAAAAAAAACTTGACGCGACGAGGTAGTTCGAGGTAGTTTGGTGAGTCTAAAGAACGTACTACCTGTCTCGCTGCCATTATACTTTTATCCAGCCAAACCCAGTAAATCAGCAAAGGAATGTTTTAGTAGGACCTTGAATAATTCCGAGTTTCCAAAGCTTATATACGTCATCCTTGTCCGCCACCTCAAGCACCGACAATTTCTCAAACATTCCATCCGGTCTTCGCTTTCCGACCACCCAAAAATAACTCCAAGTATACCAGGCATCGCCTGTTCCTAGGAGCGTGTATGAGTCATCATCAGGTATTGAGTAGTGGTGATCAGCCGCAATCTTGAATTTGTGGGGTGCCCCCTCATCATCTTTGACAACCAGTTCTCCTTCTCGACGTTTTTCATTGTTTGAAGAGTCGGCCAAGCCCCGCACAGTGGCTGAATTGATAAAGGGTCCCTCATGCCAGTCAGTACCCGGCTCCTGACCATCCTCTCGCTCTGTCCGGAAAACCTCCGCTGACCATTTATCATCTTCGAATGATATGAATTCCGCGTTCCTTACTTGCGTCCATGATGGATACCAATACGCGTTTCCGTCGCCAGGCTCAGGGTAGCAGTAGAACAACCTTATCCGAGTCGAATACTCCATGGCCTGCACAAGGTCTTCCCATGCGCTCTCTTCCGATTGCCCTGAATCATATATTGGGATATACCGCGTGTTGAGACGGTATACTAAGCCTGCAACTTTGTCCATAGAATTTGTTGACAGCCGTCTCTGCATCTCTGCGAGGGTGTCCTCTACTGAGTCCACCACCAGTGATCTCAGTAGTACCTGGAACTCCATTCGGATGATGTCATTTCCGGTGTCGCCACCAATGATCACCCTACACCCGGGGTTGATCTCCTGAAGCGTCCAGGCGCGTTTGAACCAACACCGATCACTCTCGAAGTATCCAGATGTCAAACTCAGCGGCCGACCCAGTCCGCAGAGGTAACATACCACAGGTGCACCGCTATCATAGACGTATCCGATGGTGGGCACGTCCAGCTTCCACTCTTCCACGCGGAGATGTTCCTTGCGCATATCCTCCTCACGGTGAGCCTCTCTAACAGCATACTTCTGCCTCAGACAGAGAACATCTAGCCATGCATACTCGGCTCCGAGATTCAACATCTCGATCCGAATGTGATTAAGGTCGGCATCTTTCGGCATGGGCACCGGCCACTCGTATCCGTTGATAGGCGTCCACACGTCCTCTCGATCCTTCTCATCCATCCATGCGTGTGATATCCCCCACATGAGGACCTCCACATCCCCACGCTTGAAGACCCAGTACGGCACCACCCGATTAGCATGGAGATCCCATACGCGTCGAGGAGGCACATTCTTCCGGATGATCCTGCCATCCCGGAGCACATCCTGTCGCATCTTCCGGTCATATACTTCTTCCTTGCCATCCAAGAACCCCCACCAATGGGTACGCAAATACGCATAGGCTCCACCCAAGTCGTGATTTTGTCCCAAGTAGCGATTAACAACTGGCTGGAAGTCGGGGAACGTCACGAGCGGACGCCATGAATCGGCAAATACCACTGTCATCTTGTCAAAGACACCGTTGATACCGACGTCTGAGCAGAGGGTGTTGGCCAGGGCAGATGGCATGGCGTCTGTACTGGTGTTGGACCGTTGCTTCAACACTGGAATGGTCGTCTCTTCTTTGCCAGTCTCTGTGAGGGAAGAGAGTATGACTTTGGGGGGAGGACCAGTATACTTCACATATATGTGAAATCGATTAATACTTGCCGCCCTGATATGTATTTGTATGCGCACCTCTTCCTCCGTACCCGTACTGTATCGAGGGGTACGACAATCTCTGCAAGCTCACCACTCCTTCAAAGGCCATCCAGGTTCAAACTGAGAGCAATCACACCAACGTATGTCCATAGCCAACGTAGCGCAGGAACCCAGTTATGAGGGACACCGACAGGTTTTGTTCGTGCTGTACAGGACGAAGCGAACAATGCGTGGGAGTGCTCGGACCATGATACGTGTCACCATCAGCCGTGCTGTTGAAAGATAGATGCCCAAAGATAGTGTACACGCACTAACAGGAATTTAATTCTCCTGAATCATGAGTCATTATCTACATATTAACGACTCCCATCGACACAAAGAGAGCACATGATTTATTTACAGGACGCTATTACAATATTTCTCTTTCGGGGTCGTACGGAAAATTGTAGCCGTTACCATGCCCTGATGTTCTTTTTAAAGCCCTCGTGCGAGTCTCTATGTGACGCTGAGAGATGTGACCTTGAAAACAATGTAACAGACAAAGGAATATCCTCAACAACCTAGTAAATCAATATATCATGACTCGTCAGGGTAGTTAAGCAAGAGAAATGTGAACCTGGCTTGCAGCCGCTCCGCTATCTGCGGAAGGACTTCATTGACCCTGAATACAATTCACTCAGTCTCAGAGGTTCCCGCGACAGCATAGCCTTAATGCGGTGATGTTATACAGCCCTCCGCAGTCAGGACTCCAAAGTTAGAGCAAGAGGGGAGTAGTGAGGCGACACTGGAAGCCCAATGTTCTGGCTTACTCCCATCCTTCGAAAGGATCAACGTCATCGTTGAGCATAGGATGTCCATCATTGGTAAAGATCCATCGGGTGCGTATCACCACGTGCTCGTGGCGCTGAAGGGTAGGATCAGATCAAACGACCACCATCTTTCGATTACGACACAATGGGAAGGTTTAATGTTGCCATATTACTGATCGCTGTAATCAACTATCTGCGGTGCATTCTTGATGTCGTACAGAGCCTTATTGACAACCCCAGGACCCGGTGTCGGAGCCCGAACTATATCCAAGAGAATTTTAATTGCGTTGGTCGAAAATGTGGTATGCATTGTATTCGAATGTGTCGGCTGAGCAGGTATGCCCTTGTTATTTCGCAGGGTGTGCGGCTTGGGGAGTCGTGGAAGGATACAGGTCTCGTAAGAGATAGACTGGAAAGCGAGGTATTTAAAGAAAAAAGGCCTGTTCAGCTGTTGCTAACGTAGTAATACTGTAGAGAAAAAGGATCAATATACTGAGAATAGCAAGAATCTCCTTGTCCCCAATGCACAACCTGACACTAGAGAAGCATGCTTCCGGCCATGCATAAATGGATGAGATTGTATATACACCGAGAACAAAACCAACTGCAGGGTAGCCATAAAAAAGATGAACATGACCGTGAGACGAAGCGTAAGGTAGGTAGTCAGTTGACGATCAAGTAAGAAAAAAGTGAACGGACGTCAAACCTTTCTATTTCAGTGGTACGGAGTCGAACCATGCCACGTGTACAGCACCCCCGTTCGCACTACTGAGCGAACGTGCTACGGTATGTTGTATACCCAGCAAGAACAGAACGTGAAGCAGGCTCGGGGTTCTTTGAGGGCGTCAGATTTTGGTTTCTCCTCGACGGCCCGGGGGATGTCCGAAGCAGAATATGGACGTCAGCTATGTAGGCAAAGATCGATCTTAATAATGTCGCAACAGCGTCCACCGATGAATGTACCACTGCTATCTTCGATAAGCTCAGTGAATGTCTCGGGAGTTTAGCCTCATTCTTGACGGCAGTCGAGCTCACCACATTTCTGGGTTTCAGTTTCCGGGGAATAGCTTCAGCATAGAGACGTTCGGATCAAAGTTATACCTTCGTGACAAAGCCTTGACGCCTTGACTTGTTAGAAGTCGATGGTATACCGCAAATCTCAAACCTATTTATCAAAGTGAGCCTTCTGGAATAGCTAGGTGATCGATAAGTAAGCCAAGAAAAGAGCAGGAAACGCATGTACGTACCTAGTCGATATGTATTCGTGCAGAAATCGGAGGCAATAAGGAAGTCTTCGTTTCAACTTGCTTTAGAGTGATCCTGACGCCTGGAAAAGAATCGAAAGTTGTTGATGAAGGACCGACATACTTGAAACGCAGGGTGCGGAAGTTGATGTGGCGAGATCGTCACGCGTCGACTGTAGTGAGAAAGAGTTAAAAAGGAGAGAAGACGACAGGGATCCCCTTCGGAAGGGAAAATTAACGGTAATGATGGGTGTCCTTCGCAGAAGAAGCAGAGAGCAGCCACATCAGAAGAACACCGTCGACGTGGACTGTGCGGTGTTACATTACATGCTTCGGTGTTATGTATCACATTTTTTGGCTCAAGGTCTCGTAGAAAACTCGAGAAAAGCGTAGTCATTGAATATAATACGCATATATACAATCTAAGCTGTAATGAGTCGGGAACGACGTCACTGATGGATAGAGATCGACGTACAATGAGTATGCAAAGCGAAAATGGTAGGTACGATCGTGCAGAATGGTCCTATCGAGGGATCCCATGCATTGTGTACTTACAACGGTCTGCCACTCATGCCTTATCCTGCATGAAGGTATGAGATGTGGGACTGTATGAGCGGAGCAGGGGAACTGACTTGATAGAGAGGCTACAAGACGAGCCGTAACACGTTGCACATCAAGTCAAGGTAAATGAGTGCGACGTCCCTGGGTAGATGTATGCGGAGGAGTATTACCCAGAACCAGCGCGTCTGTCCTGGCCCATTGAATCTGAGAAAGAAATGCTGGCGGGGCAAATCATGAAAAGGAAACGACGTCGAAAATAACAACGGCTTACCATCCGAAATACCCCTTGGAAATCCCATCCTATCCTCTCGCCAAGAGATTATACGTCGCTAATGAGCCCTTCCACCAGCCCGCGTCCTTCAGGCAAGTCAGTGACTGGCTAAGTTAATGCACTGAACAAGTACCTCGAGCTTTTCCGCCACCATTTTGCACATATTTCGTTCAAGAACACGTAGATAATATCGTCTCCACGTTTGCGCATATCCGCAGAGAAGCTAAGGAAGGGATAGTTGGGTTGCGAAACCGAGGAGATGGTCTAGGCACGGTTCGGAGCCAAGGACGTATCAGCGACCTTCATCAGACGAGGAGTCCTAGTCAGCGACGGCGTTCTAGTTATACTGCAGTACCAAAGTTATGTCAGTAAATGATAGGCGAATCTCAGGTTTCCCAGACTCGCCTATAGTAAGTTCCTCAGCCATCCCAGCCCGCATCGATACTGGGACAATCGAGAGGCACTTGAAGCATTACGCGCCTCGTCTACGGTCTGAGTTGTTGGAAAATGTTCGACAGACGATATCCACAAGAGCAAGAGATATGCATGGGCTTGTATACGCGAGATGGACCCGTGAAGAGAGAGCATAGTGCAGGTAGGAAAGGAAGGAAGGAAGGAAGCCCTAGGTCGGACTGTCAATCACATTAGCTATACCCCGGACACCTCCTGCACGGGCCTGCGACGCGTCATTACAAATACGGAGCTTCGGCACGTTCTGTTTGTGATGATTTGGCGTCCTTCCGATTTCATGACTCTCTTACGCTATTCGTTTCCCGCTGTATTCCTTCAACAACCATCAAACCACCGGCTATCCCCCGATGCATATTTCGATTGTTGCTTGCTACTGTGTTGGATAACGCTTTCCCCAACCTTCCTTGGCATGAAATCACTGCATCGATAGACAATTTCGGATAAGCGCTGCTTGCTATTGTTCTTGAGCCGTTCAGGGCCAGTCCGGAGCTTTGACTTGAGCGCTCGGACGGGCAGGATACTGATAGTCGTCAGGCCTTCAGGTGCGTAGCTCATCATTATCATAAGGCCATCTCTAACGATAAACATGTAGCCATAGAAATCACCTCCTACTGCCCAGGAAGCCGTCGTCCAGTCGCGACTTGCAAGCCCAAATCTCGTCACCTTCATGGAAGAAGGAGGGTCGACGGTAGAGGATGAATCCGAGAGGACAAGGGCGAGCCTTCTCGGTATTACTGGAGAACGATGCACAGCACTCAATGGACGCTTTTTCGAGCTTCGTAGAAGACGACAGCCAGCTAACATAAAAGCAGAGATCCGGCAGGTAAGCACATCCTTTTTCTATTAGAGTTTTCTTATCACCCTCAATCACAGTGTTCATGAATCGCCAAGGAAAAAGAACCCCAGCCCGAGAATGTCGAATTCACTGGGACCTCAAGAAAGAGACCGTCCCAGATCTGTGCAGAAACAGATGGACGGATGGAATACGGGTAAGTCCGCGAACGCGTTACTCTTCTCTACAAACTAAGAACTCGGAATTCAGATACAACGGTGGGGGCTCAACGCTCTTGTTCCGACATTACAGGACGTCTTACTAGTACGACGATAAGCGAGAACACCACATTTTGAACGACACGTTGAGTAATGGTGGGAACCCAGCACTCTCAGTGGAGCTATCATAACACGATCTGTGGTTCGTCGTAAACTCTCTCCTCTTTCCGCGTAAAACTAACACAGCCCTTCTAAATAGTAACAAGTTCCTTACGGTTATCAATACAGGGCACAAGCAGGAGCTTCGTCGTTATGTCCATGCCATCCTCGAGTCCAAGTTCCAGTACAATGTCGACTGCACAACGGAAGGCGTCTTTGCTGCCGATGTTCGATGTCGTGGTTGTTAGGACCTCCGCGTACTATGTCCGGGGACTATTTTTTGTTACCGCTCGGACTTGTACTTATATCCCATGCAAAGTTAGAAGTACAGCGTTAATACCTCCGACTACATGGCATCGTAGACGATCGGGAAACCGTCTAGGGACGCGGCGGTTCGAGTCCACCGGGCTTATTCAGGAAAACCGGCAATGTTTTTGCGTGCATGTCGCGGGTCATCCTCACAGCAGTACATTTTCTGTCGTAACATCTTGCAGATAAGAAGTAAACGCTCTCCCTACTCACATTGATAATGTACGCATCATTCGATATCCTCCGCATTGCTCTCACGTCTAAGTAGATCAATGGCGTATAATGTATGCTGCGCGTGGTTCGATTCCATGGATCAGCTCTCATAGGCTACGAGTATCGCTTTTTTTCTCAGGTTTTTTAATACTTTTCTTCCAATTTATCCATTCGTTTGTTCTTTCCTTCATATTGCGAGCGGGTGAGTCTAAAAAAGAGTATTGAATTTACGTTGACAAACTATCCACTGCTATAAAGGCGTCAAATAACTACCAGAAAACCCATTAGCTACATATTACGAAGACGAGCATCTACATCCCTTGCAGTGGGACGCTTGTTAACATAGAAGTTCATACAGTCCTCCACAAGCTTCCATAGATTGTTTGAAGAAATTTCATCTGGTCGTGGATGACGTCCTTTATTAATCACTAGGTTTGAAACGGAACCGTCGTGACGAATTGTAGAGAAAGGCGGTTTCAATGTGAATATCTGTTGCTCATGTGTTATTAACAAGCTAGTGTCATCATAGAAGTCAGAAATACCTCAATAATTGTGCATCCAAGAGCATAGATATCTCTTGCCGGAGAGGGTTGTATCTCGTACGCCGGAGACTCGGGAGGCAACTGACACTCTGGAGACAGCCACCGGGTGGAATTCTGGTTCAAGGTGTTCCTCGAAGGAATCTGGGTGGCAATGAACAATGAGGATCCAAAGTCCCCTAGAAGGCAGCGTTGATCGTCTGCGACTAGGACATTGTTCTGAATGTCGGCGTAAAAATCAGTCTCTCATCGGAACAAAATATCGCGTACCCCACGTATATCACCATGAACAATGGGTGGAGCAAAGTTGTGTAAATAGACCACCGCATTGACGATCTCTCGGATCTAATATCAACTATGCATGAATGTCCAATTCCAGGAGTAAGAAAATAAATAGCGTACGCATTTCAAGCGGTTGTGGGTCTTATGTGACTCCAAGAACTTGATAAGATTGCCGTTGTTCATCCAAGGAGATATGAGACAGAACTTGTTCGGAAAGCTGGTTATATCAACCCCGATGAAGGGAAGAATATTTTTGTGTTTCAACTGCTTCCACATGACCGCTTCACGACAGAGTTCCTGAATTGGCCGCTGGTGAGACAACGCTGACGTTGTTGAGATGTGACCTTAACTGTACCTTTAATAATCTCTTTTTCTCAGCCTCTGTTACTTGAAAGATGCGAAGAACCTTCAGGCATACGACCTTTCCATTCAAAGTTCCACGGTATATATCCTACAGTAGTGAGGGATAGTTAGTCTGTTGGAATTGTGGTAGTGGTCACTAGCGTTGCTCACTGCGGCTCCTCCTCCATCAATGGGATCACCACTTTTTCTGACGACTCCTTTGTTCATAGTAAAGCATTCAGGAAATATGTCCCTTTCCTTGCTAAGCGCCCGAAGACATTTGAAGCATCGTTCAGAGTACTGCGGGTCGCCCCTGGGGGTCTCGTCCAACTCCTGATGGATTATCAGCATACACACAATGTATATAAAGCGTTTCCACAAGACCTGCTGCAAGAGATTTACAACCATTTTATCTACAGGGGACGTTGGGACATGTTTGATGTCGTTCCAGGGCTTGTAAGCCGAGCGGACAATGGCGCGGACCTCTCGTTTGAAATCAGAGGCTTTGAGGTCTTTCGAAATCTTCTCCCAGACAAAAGCTTTAGACATTGCGAATATGGTCGGAATGGCAGAATTATGTCGATTGGGCGTTCCGGTATAGTATTTAGTGGTCTGGGAGGAATACGATCGCTGGGATCCTCAAGAAAGAGAGCTGTGGGGAATAAGTGAAAACTGTTTTCAATTTATACTAACTCTGACGCTAAGCAACCCTTGTGTTGTGAAACAGATGAAAGAAACAGTGCATGGTTTGCCATGTGGACCCGGCCGTTCCTTATTGAGACGTGGCCCCGGTAAGACCGACATCACCACCAACACCGTCAATAGAGAAGGTAACTCCATCCGTACGGGACAATTCAGTCTTGAAAGGACTCCCCAGATCGGTACAACTCTGAATGCGCAAAATCTGAGTAGGAGATCAATACATGCCCACATGTAACGCAGAACTCAGGGATAATCATAAATAAACATGATATAATAGTGTATCGTTCGCGGCTATCATATATGACTGTATGTTCCTCTATCAGGACTTGCCGTGGAGCTGATTTACACTTAGGCGCTTGCACTAGTGTTGCCGCGGCTCGGCTTATCTCTGCTTAACACCAAAGTCGGGTTTGAGCCGTTTATTCCGACTGCACCAACGTTCAAAATGACAGACATTTCAATCCTCGTATTCACTCACGAGACTTATTAGTATCATCAGAAATTGTGTTCTTGTTCCTCCTACCCTTCTATCCTCGGCGGCTCAAAACCGACTTCGGTGTTAAGCAGAGATAAGCAGAGCCGCGGCAACACTAGCTGGCATGGACCGTTCCCAAAGTTTGACATCACCGGAAAGCACCGACCAACAGCGCTCACCTTGACAAGCGAGCGCTGTTCTAGTTTACGGACTTTAAGACACAGTGGCGGCTGGTTTATGGCTATTTCGGCGATCTCGGAGCCCTATTCATGCGCTCGAAGTCCCCAAAACACGTTGCCGGAGTCGGAACCTGTGACTTCAAAATTTCGTGGGTTTTCTTCTTCCGCTACAACACGCCCTTTGCGCTGAGTCACGGTCTATATCAGGGCTACTAACTCCCTTTCAGTGAGGTCCACAGCTACGAACAGGCGATATATAGATGACGCGACTGTAGCGCAGGTCAGCGCCTCAGTCTTTCCAGCGGTCCTCTGCCCCAGATACCCCAGTAACACCGAATCAAGACTAACACGTTAACTCGTTTCGATACAAATCGTTGTGTCGTGCGCTCCCTCTCCTGGGTATCTTTTGTTTCGGGGAAGCCTACTGCATCACTTCCACTGTTGCAGAAATCTATCTAATACTCCTGATTCTTGGTGTAGCGGATCTCGTTTTGCTATAGTCTTTTCAGTACTGCAAGCTAGGAGGTGATGTATGGCTCGTCTATGAATTCCCTAAGTAGGAGTAGCTGTCGTATACGTGTTTATGCGTGCTAACACCGCTATCTCACCCTCGGATGACCAAAAACATCTAACGTCAACTGAAGAATTTCCACTCATGAGACTTGAGCTCGGTCTCTCGGTCTAATATTGCACATCTTCACCTTTCGATAAAATGAATCACCCACTTTTTGCTTTCGAACCCGGTAGATGGGTCGTCGTCTCGTTTTCGTTATTTTGCATTTCAAGATTTCGACACATCTGGAAACCATGTATTATGGCTCCACTTCAGCTGAGATGAGTCTCGAAACTCTCTTCGGGATCCCAACCTCATAAAGTTGCTTCAGACTCGCCCTCGTTCGCATTTCCTTCCCAAATCGCCTCACGAGATTCTCTTGATCTTGTCACATCTTTTCTTTCTTTCCGTGAGATGCGACTGTAGTTGTCTTGCGATTCCCACCGTCTATGTGATAAGCCATATAATTCCTGTTCCGCCATTATATACTGATGATTGTCTTCTTAGCAGTGCAGACCTCTCCCGTTAGTTTCATTCGCTCCATTTTTGTTGAGATTTCTTTACTCACGCTTTCCGTACCAACGTGACAGCCTCTGACTTGACCAGCTCGACGCTTCAAAGCCGCCTTGACGATGCGGACGTGTACTCTTCCTGTAGAGCACGGAGCAATCACCCTGGTTTTGGATCCACAAGACGAAGAGAAGCGTGTTTGAGTAAAGCTCCCATTCATTTCGGTGAGCTCAGAGTGTTACCTATCTGGCTTAATTCGGGGCTGAAGTTGCCTCGATAGTAATTGCACTCTGACGCCCTTCAGGTCTCACACGTCTTCTCCAACCGTCATTCCATCACGCCCGGTATGTTACTATTTGTTTCGTGCCTCTTATCAGCCCTACATTAAAAATACGCGCCGCAGATTCAGTATTTTAGGCGGAGGTGAACATCACTGCTATCACACACCCACTGTATATCGTTCCAGAAACTGGTCAAGATGAGTGGCTGGGGTTGACGAAGTAAACAATGCGTCGCAGTGCTCGGATCATGATACGTGTCACCTAGTAAGCCCGCACTCGTCAGGGCAGGTAAACATCTGGAACGTGGACCTGGCTTACACCTGCTCCGCTCTCCGCCGAAGGACTTGATTTGATACCGAATATAATTTACTCAGTCCCAGAAGTTCCTGCGACTGCGAATCCTCAATGCAGTGATTAAGTAAGAAAAAAGTGAAGGTACTTTATATCTTTCCCATTCAGCGGTATGGAGTCGAACCATGCCACGTGTACAGGCGCCTCCCGTTCACACTACTGAGCTAACGTGCTGCGGTAGGAAAATCTGAACGGGACGATCGCGTGAGGTTCTGTGACTGGGTGAGTATATGTAGTAGGATGACGAAGCCATAGAGGGAGCCTTGAAAATCGTCTAGTTCCAACCCGCCCACCTACACCTTCGCAAAAAGATGTTCATCTCAAAATTGAGATGGGACTTGGTGCTGAACATGATCTTGGTGATGTCAAGATTGCGCTGAATGAGGAACGCACTACTGATATTTTCGATGAGCTGAAAGTCTTGGGGGCTTGGCCTCTTTCTTGATGGCAGAGACGGCAGTCGAGCTCACCACGTTTCCGGGTTTCAGTTTGCGTGGAATAACTTTAGCATAGAGACATTCAGAACACAAATTATTCGTTCGTGACAAAGCATTCGCGCCGAGACGTGCTAGAATTCGAGGTATAGTGGGTATACCACACATCTCGAAGGAAGATGGTCGACGGGTGTTCATATCGATCAAGATGAGCTCGTCAAATCTTTTGAGCCTTCAGAAATGGCGAATTGATTGATAAGTAAGCCAAGAAAAAGAGAAGGAAAAAGTGAACGTACCCAATCGATATATATTCTTGTGGCGCAGTGCAGATATCGGAGGTAATAAGGAAGTCTTGCTTTAGAGCGTTTCTGGCGCCTAGAAAGGAATCGAAAGTTGCTGATCAAGGTCCGAAATTCTTGAAACGCACGGTGAGGAAGTCTACATGCCTCCAATGCAGTGAGATAGTATCAAAAAGGAGAAAAGACGAGATAGTGCCCCTTCGGAAGGGAAACTTAACGGTGACAACAGGTGTCTTTCGTAGAAGTAGAGCACAGTCACATCACAAGAACACCGTCAAGGAGCCGAATAAGCAAATGCGGACTGCGCGGTATCACAGTACAGGCTTCGGTGTTACGTATCACAGTTCTTGGCTTAAAATCTCGTAGAGGACTTCAGAAGAGTGTAGTTATTGAATTTAATGCACATATATACAATCTAAGCTGTTGTGAGTTAGGAATGGTGTCATCAACGCAAGAGATCGACGTACATCGAGTACGCAAAGTAAACTGGTAGATGGTAGGCATGATTACGCAGAATGGTTCGTCGAGAGACGCTAGACATTGCATACAATGCTCTGCTCTCGTGCCTTATCCTGCATTGAGAATGTATGAGATGTAAGATTGTATGAACCCTGCAGGGTAACTTACTTAGAAAGAGACTACAAGACCGACCATAACACGTTGCGCATCAAGGCACGGAAAGTGAGGGCGATGTCCATGGGTACATGTATGCGGAAGAGTATCATCGAAATCGGCTACGTCTGTCCCGGCCCATGGAATCTGAACAAGAAACTCTGCAAGGACAAATCATGAGAAGGAAACAGCTTCGAAAACAACCACGGCTCACCATTCTCAATATCTCCTGGAAATTCCACCCTGTCATTTCGCTAAGATATTATACGAGCTCCGCCAACAGCCCGCTTGAATCAGCCAAGTCAGTGTTTGGCGAAGTTAATGCGCTGAACACGTACCTTGAGCTTTCTGCCGCCATTTTCCACGTTCTTTACCCAATATACGTGGACAAGATCGTCTCCGAATCTGTGCGTATCCAGAGAAACACTGTCGGAGGGGTCGATAGGTCGATGATGCGCGAGGTCGAGGAGATGATCAAGGCGCGGTTCGGAGTTAAGGCCGTTTCAGCGACCTTCATCAGACAAGGAGTAGGCGACGATGGTGTACTGATACTACAGCACGAAAGTTTTATCAGATAATGGCAGGGGATACTTAGGTTTCCCAGACTCGCCCGTAGTCAATTCCTCCGCCAAACCCAGCTAGCATGGACACCGGTACCACTGCGAGAAACTTGAAGCATTGAGCATCCGTTGGAAAATGCTCGACAGACGATATTGACAGGAGCAAGGGGCGTCTATACGCGAGATGGAGCCGTAACGCGAGAGGGTAGTGCCTGACGTAGGAAAGGAAGGAAGCCCCAGACTGTCAATCACGTTAACTGTACCCCAGACACCCCGCGCACCGGCCCGCGACGCGTCATCGGAGCTTCGGCACGTTCTGTTCCTGGATCTCCTCGTACGCCATTCGTTCCCCATTGTATTCCTTCAACAAGCATCAAACCTCTGGCTGTCCCCCAATGCATATTTAGACTGTTACTTGCTGCTGCGCTGAATAACGCTTTCCCCAACCTTCCTTGGCATGAAATCACTGCATCAACAGACAACTTTCAGATAAGCACTTTGCTATTGTTCTTGAGCCGTTCTTGGCCGGTCGGTCCGGAGCTGTTACTTGAACGCTCAGACGGAGCAGATACTGGTAGCCGTCAAGTGCGTAGCTCGTCATTATCACAAGGCCATCTTTAGCGATAACCATATAGCCATAGAAATTACTTCCTACTGCTTAGCAAGCCGTTATCTGGTCGCGACTCGCAGGCCTAAACTTCGTCACCTCCATGGAAGGACAATCAACGGTAGAGGATGAATACGAAAGGACAAGAGGGCGCCTTCTCAGTAGCACTGGAGAAGGATGCGCAGCCGTCGATGGGCTGCTTTTTCGAGCTTCATAGAAGACGTCAGCCAGTTGACATGGAGACGGAGATCTAGCAGGTAAGCCCATCCTTTTTCTATTACTATCAGTTATCGCCCTCGCTCACAGTGTTCAAGGAAACAAACCACAGCCAAATAATGACGAGTGCCCTTCCTACTCAACCGGATCTCAAGACAGATACAATCCCGGAGCTTTACAAAAACAGATGGACGGATGCATTACAAGCAAGTCCGCGAATGTGTCGTTCTTCTCTACACACTAAGCACCCTCTGAATTTAGACACGATGACAGGGGGTCGAGTTCCGCTTGTAGCTAGGACGGCGATCAGCCTCAACCTCGAGTTCAAGTAGCAGTGCGGCCCGACGATATATCTGTGGTCCGTCATAAAATCTCTCTTCTTTCCCCAAACTTACAGAGATTCTGTGAGTAGTAGCAAATTCGTTGCGGTTCTTAGTGCCCAACACGGGAAATACGTCGTCGCTGACAACGATGACGGACCAACGAAAGGCGTCCTTGCTCCCGATGTCCGATGTCGTCGCTGATAGGTCCTCCGCGTACTATGTCCGGGGACTATTTTTTGTTACCCCTCGCACTTGTACTTATATCCCATGCAAAGTTAGAAATACGGCCTTAATAACTCCGACTACACAGTATCATAGACGATCGGGAAACCGTCTAGGGACGCGGTGGTTCGAGTCCACTGGGCTTATTCACCGTAAAATCGACCATGTTTTTTCGTGCATGCCATGGGTCATCCTCGCAGCCGTATATTTTCTGTCGTACCATCTTGCAGATAAGAAGGAAACGCTCTCCCTACTCACATTGATCATGTATGAGTCATTCGATATCCTCCGCTCTGCTCTCATGTCAAAGTAGATCAATGGCGTATAATGCAGGCTGCGCATGGTTCGATTCCATGGGTCAGCTCATAACTGCTGCTATGGTTCCTTTTTTTTGCGGGGTTTTTTAGAGGATGTTGCTTGTAGAGATACTGATCAAATAATTAATACACCGTCGTAGATCAGCTGGACGGCTGGATCTAAGGCCTCGGTTCGACTCCGAGGGGTGGTGCTGTTGGAGTTCTTAGTGAATAACTTTTGGCGAGGTTTGTTACTTGCTCGTTTTTAAATATTTGAATAATTGATTCGGTTTGCGTCAGTATAGCTGGGCACCTACCGTAATCTAACAGTAAAGAAGTAAAGGAGGTGTTTATTGATAACTTGTGCAGCGAGGAAGAATCAGCATCATTGTCAGCAGAAATTTTTGTTCCCGATAAAGAAAACCGTGGCATCTCGACACCAACCCATTCGAGCGTATTGGTCTGTAGTCAATTCCACGTCCGTGTTCAGATTATAAATGGTTCCATCCTCTTTCGTAGTGAAGACGTGCTCCAAATCATTGGTTTCAGGTACGCGGTTTTGACTGATTGAAAAGCTGCTATAGATCAATGGCAGGTCTAATCTTGGGAAGATCACAGTTCGATTCCGTGTAGTGACACTTGATCGTTGAGTCTGAATAAATCGGGCACTATCCTTTCGACACCGAACTTGGACATTGATACGTGGAGGTACAATCATCTTTGGTTCCCATCGTCGTACGCGGCACATCTCATTTGCTTTCCAGGTGGAACGTATCACCGAGGACATGTAACAGATGTTCTCATTTATGACTATGGGATTAGACCCTTCTTTCGGTTATTATTTCGCCGGGTGAGACAAGCTCTAAGCTCATGCGGTCATACTCGTAAAAGCATGAGATTATCCTTCCACCTTTATTCGTGGTCATGTTGCTGCAGAGGTCCCCAACCGAAGATTTGACTTTAATCCCGGAAATCTGCGGATTGTGAAGGAGCCCATTTATATTTCATGCTTTACCTGTGTTATGGCCGAAATGGTTTCCCATGAAATGGACTACTATGCGACATCAAATAAACTTTGCCTATCCTGACTGTTGCACAGGTCAGGCTAGCGTAGGAGCGTGGTATTCTTCCATCGCTCCCCTCGTTGATTAGCGGTGGGAACGTTTCTACAAGGGGGATAGTTCAAATTCGTCTGCTGGAAATTGCCTTGTGTAATCATTCATTCTTGAAGGAAATAGATATTTTTTATCTTTGGTTTACAGGTGTCACGCCGTTCATTCGCTTTCTTGTTCATTTCTTCCTTGAATACATTCATTCGTGAGTAACTAGGTAGTGGAGGTGGACTGCTTTCCGGTGTGATGCTACGCAAAGTGCGAGTTGCCACAATGAATGATTATGGCAATATGTCCGATTTTATCCATCCGGCTGAATAAAGAATAAGATTCAGGTGGCATTCGTGGACTCACGATTTGGAATGAAACGCTATCTACCTTGGCGCATAGTTCCACTATCGATTCGAGTGAGCGGACAAGGAGAATTCTACGCTTGTATTTGTGTGTGTGCTTTCAACTGCGTTTGCATGCATTCAACTTGCAGGCCTTGGTGTGCCTTCTGAACTGATTTTTCCGCATCACGTACTCACCTTGGGTAAGGAGCGTTGACCTTTATATCTGGGTCACCGGAACAGGGATATTGATATTGAGTATTGAGGAAAGAAGTCATGGCGAGGTAACTTGCTGGAAGGAATACACTGTCAATGGTTCGAATCCGTTGGTTGACAAATTATAAATGAGTCCATCAATGGCGAACTAATGTTTTTTTGCACGCCGGACCTCTGTGAGTTAACTGGATAGCAGATACGTGAGCCCTGCGTGCCATCCTGTCGACTAGGATGAGTAACAAGATTCTTACATTCTCTGAAGTGGTGATCACGGATTTGTAGGTTGCATGACGAGGTAGATATGTGCCATCGTAGATTAGTGGTAGGCGAATTCGCCTATTGAACCCCGGTTCAAGCTCGGGAAATGGATTGGACAGTAGTTTCGATGCTCTTTTTGTTCGACATCCTGGCGACTTGGGAGAAAGCGCCGTGTAGGGCCGGTCCGGACTTGTTGATTGCCGATATTTGGAATTTCAAATTTCAGCTTTCTCTTCTCTCTCTCACCCCCATGACCGACCACGGTTTACTTCGGTGTCCTGTATAGGCACCGTATCCTCTTGCTCGACAGCTTCAAAGTCGCCTATATATGATCGATGACACGGTCGCATAACGTCTCTCCTTTAGAGCACAAATCAATCAACCTGGTACCCACGAGGGCAAGGGCGGAGATGAACCTGGTTGGGTAAAGATACGTTCATTCAGGTGAGCTCAGCTTGTTCCCTATCCCATTACTGAGGCTGATTAGATAGCGATTCAGAAGCGGGATCGCCATCCTCCTCAATGTCGCTAAAGTCGGCGCGTAGCGTACTCCTGTTTCTGAGCACGGAGCGAATATACCAGTTTTCGGATCCACGAAGGAAGCGAGGGTGCAGAGTAGCATGGTTGGGTAAAATCGAGTTCATTCTGGTGAGCTCAGACAGCCACCTATCTACCTTAACTCCTTGTTGAGATTAATTTCAGATAGCAATCTTTCACCGGCATCTCTAATCCTCTCCATTTTCGACCAGACGCTCGTCAGGGTCCAGCGCATCGTCATCTTCGGAGACACGTACTTGGCTTGTGTCATCCTGTTGTCCGATCAGGTCAAGCTGGGTACATAGTCTCCATCTCGTCTGCCTTATCAGCCTTATATTAAAATGTCGCTCCGCAGACTGCGTATATTAAATACCACACTGGAAGCTGTTCACGATGGCATCGCTCCCGTGTCAGATAGCTCATTCGCCGCCTTTCCAGTTATTGTTCTTTCGGTCTCACCTGGCGTTATAGCAAGCACTCGATGTTTAACTCCTTCGCTGAAATGAAGACTGCCCTTCAGTTCCACGCACGCTACGTCAGAGTCGCCCCATTGTCAGCAACATTCTCCGGATCCTTGTTTGTAGTTTCCACCACTACAAACCAACGCCACATTGCATGTTGAAGCGCCGAGGTCATTAAAGGCCGATTCTTGATTGCCGATGTTACAATTTGGCTGGTGGCCGGCTCCGCCCTTCGATTAATTAACGTTTCAACGCCTGGCGCAGTACCCTCAGGGCCCTGTTTCGCGTCAGCCCAATTTACTTCGGTGCCAACAACTGACGATTGATCCTTATACGTGTACGACCCTCAACATTCAACGTTAACGGTCTTGCCTTCATCGACCGAGCTTTTTGATTCGATGCCGATTATTGCGTGGGAGAGAACTGAACGGCTGTGATTTCTGGAGACCTGGTACGCACAAGATTGACGTCCGCCTTAGTCTCTCCATCTTGATCAAGCCCAGACGACCGCCACCTCTTTGATGTCCGCCAATGCGCCCAGGTAGTTTCTCGTGGCCTTGACCTCGCAGATAGGCACGTGTTTTCTCCGCTGGACAGTGGATAATCTGTTACTGGGTACAGGTTTTGCGCAAGCTGAGGGTACCTTCGATCTCACTTCACCATCCCATGGGACTAGATTTCCCTCAGACTTCTCCTGATATCGTTCATGGTGTCTCCGATGTTATCGGGCATGTCGTTATCTTCTCTTTCCGGCATGCGAAGTTGGTCTGGGCGCGCTGTGCTCTTTTTATCGAACGTGATAACACGCACAAGGTACAAACCGCTACTTGCAGGCATAGCACGGAAAGGCCACCTCGATGCGAAACCGTAAACCAGAACATCCTTCACTCCTTGCGGCGTGTCCACTGATGTTTGCTAGTTTGGCAGCAACTGAAAATGCACGGACGCACGTGTGTGACAGCTGGATGCCAAACGTCAGTCCTGGATAACGCATCGTATCCCCACCACGATAGAATTGTTCATCAAGAGGAAGAAGTGTTCTAGGATTTCTTGGGAACGCGGCCTAGGCCATGTTATGAGGTAGGCCAACGCCTTTTTGCTGAGCTCCTATATTTATACCTCCCTAAGCGGAGCAGAGGTCACTCGATCAGAAGCTCTGACTCTAGTCTTATATCGTGATACAGTCGCCTTCGTTTCGTTTGAAGTTCTCTCCTAATGATTAGCCGTGTTTAGCGAAAGACGTGACGACCTTGTATGGCGAGTATTTTTCCTCCTTATTTAAGCGCCACGATGCTCAACTATACCAAAGGTCTGCTCGTTCCTGCAAAGAATGCGTTTCCGCCGAGGACAATGTTCTAGCTCTCAACTACACCTCTCGATGATCCCGGAATTCGCTCTCCCTGCAGTTTATTTAATGTGATCTCTCGTACCTTCTCGCTTTGAATCCTCGTAGATCTTCATGCCGAAATCTTTCACAGGAGGCTCTGTGTATTTATGTTTCTCACAGAACAATATCACCTTCTAGTGACCGCAGCTATGTCGACTGACTAGATGTAGACGAATGCTCGTTTAGATCAATGACAAATCAACCCTGTCGAATGATTTCTGGTATTGCAATCACTTTCGGGACGATCACAGTTCGGTTCCATGAGGTGACGGCTGAGAATACCCTTTTTGGGACGTTGAGAAGAGATAACCGTTCCTTCTTTGACGGAATCTGTCCTGTTTAATTAACCTCTTTGTAAAAGGTCTCTGTTCTTCCGTTCTATACTAAAAACTCATGAGATCAACAATACGACTGTACATACGTACTCAGAGAACCGCGGCGCAGCTCTCAAGACAATCCTCCTCCCGAGTCAATCGTCAATTCCCGTGTGTTGATTAAAAGCAACACCACCTTCCCTCCTTTGACGCGAGGAGGTGCTACCCGACATACCTTCCGGTTTTTTTCCCCTAGGCGCGTGTAAAGGAACTGCAAGACCGCCATCATCGCTCACCATCCCGTACAACGAGCAGCTTCTGTAGATCAATGGGGGATCAGCTCCGTTTCAAAACCGTCTCGAGTTCTGTATACTTCCGCTGAGATGGTCGCGGATCAATTCCGCTTACTAGCAGTGGCTGACAGGCTCTTTCGTGTTTTCGAATGAAGAGAGGTTTTCAAGTACTAGTAATGGGTCATCCCATCAATATATTTGTCCTTCTCGTAGCATTGAAGCGCCGACGGCTCCTCAAAACGGATAGTAGATGGTGTTGCATCATAAGAAATCTGATCGCCTGTAAGATAAATGTGCTCTCAATTTTAGATGCTCACTGTACGTATGCATGATTCCAAAATACCACTGTAACATTGTGGAAAACACAAGAACAGAATATCTGTAACCATCACGATGGGAATTCGTTCCGTAGCCCACAAGGCATTACACCGTCTTGAGCTCGACCCCGCACATTATTAGTTTAACGTGTTTGTATCACCGCTGAGTTCTTACTAGGGGTCATTCATTGTATCGACCATATGAAGAATTAATGAACGACGCCATGGCTACAAGGCTATTCGATCGCTGGTAGGGGGGGGGGAAGTAAAACCAAATCAGTCCCGGGACCTGATAGAAAAAATGATATTCACCCTGAAGTATTGGTTCCGCCGTCCCGCTAAGCAATTCCACATAAGCAGAAAATTAACGTAACTCAGGGTGGCTCATCCATTTCGGACCGATTCTACCATCCTAATGGTATTCGTGCCTTGGGAATTCGGGATAAAAAATTTAAAGAGGTCTTCAGGGTCAGCATCGGAACAAGAAGAGGGACATACGATCTTCGGACGTGTACCTGCTAGTCCGAGTCAGTTTAGCAAATAAACCACGTATGTCAGGGCCAAATAAGTCACCGTCCGGCTTCGCATTATTGCTCCGTTTGCCAATGACGTTGCGGCTGTTCCTTATGCCACTCTGAGAGTACCTGTTTAAGATGAAGAAATGAGTACCTCCGAGGAAGGGCGATCACGACTATGCTGGGCAGGACAGTGGAAAGAAAGTGGGACTTAAGGTGACATTGCGTCGACTTCCTGAAGGGGTGTTGCTCATTGTGTTAATATTGAGCCTTTGCACTAGGCGGATATGTATCTGTTCTGAATTTCTCTGCCTTCTGAAATTCAAGTGAGTGATGCGAGGGCAATCATGCAGCAAATGTATGTTACCAGATTGGGCTCAGATGATTGCCAACGATGAATAACGGCGTCTTCGACTCGCCGAGAAGTTCACCGCGGATACAGGCGAATGTTCAAAGTGTTCTGGGGCAGGGTAGGTTAGTATCTGCGTTCTTGATTCCGGGTTGCCTGACCTTTCAGGGTAAGCAGACAATGTTCCTGATTAATTAACATTTGTACAGGGTCATTGATTCAAAAGCGTTCAAAAGGCGCTCCGCAGAAAACGTGATCTAAAAAAATCAGTGGATACAGATAACATTCACGGGAATTGGACGCAACGAATGAAAAAGCCAACGTACTTTGTACTAGAATTCTGTTAGTACAGGAGTCATCCTTGATTGCGTGTCTGTCGTATGCGTCGAGTTCACGAGCCGCGGCTTGACGGACATGGCGGTTCGGAGGAACTTACGTCAGCCGATTATCATCATTCTGGGATCCTACTTGATAACCGGACGGCGACCAACTCCTATTGGATTCCTAGCCGATTCTATAGAGAGCAGATAGTCTGGAGGCCAAGGATGAAGTGCTAGGTTATCTGTTAGGCAGCGTATCCACTTACCACTCAATAATATTGATGTCTTAAATAAAGGTTCCGAATGGATGTTGGGTGTATGGGCGGCGCTTCTTCGACTTGAAGAGCATGACTGCCAGGAAGGCTAGAATACCCCGTCAGTTTTCGGCCTTCCTCTGCTCAGCAGGCATGAGATTGTGAGGAAAATATAGTAATGATCACATACAATGTACGTATGGACCATTTGGACCACAATATGGTGGAGGGAATTCTAGCAGTATTCGTCGGAATCATTTCGGTATTTCTCCCATTTTGTGAAATTGACTTGGCTGGCCAAGTGGACAAAAGTAAAGGACCTTAGCGATCGAGCAGATACATAAGCAGCGGGAGAAGTCGTAGAAGCATATCTATGGATGAATCAGGAAGCGAGTGTGTATATATGACGAAGTAAGCACAAACCATGATTAGTGGCAGTCCCGCTTTACTCACATATAATCTTTGGGCGATCTCAGAAAACGAAGAGGATTGCGGGGTCAGCCCTATCAATTTCCCGCTACCGATCTCTGCCAGTGCTTGCCGATCATTTCCGTGACGCTAATAATCTACGAGGCGAAAGCAGACTCGTAGGAATGCAAGGTGGAACCTGTCCTAGAATCATCTTCTCACATAGGTTCACAGCAATAGAAACAGGACTCACAATCCTGATAATCGTGAAGACGTATTAACGGCCACGGGCTTTGAGGTGTCTTCCCAACATAACGACCAGAACGCTAGACCTAGAGCCTGGGTAAATGAGCCGGAGAGATACTTACAGAGATGCATGGTCAGAGTCGCATCCAAAGTTCCCACACAAGCCATCATTCGCCATATGATAGCATCACGGCAAGTGATATTGACAGTGATGGAAGAACGAATGTCAGGTGGAGAGTTTTGCATCCACCGTAGCGACCGATTCTATGCCATGTATGGTGTGAACTCCACCCAAATCATGGCTGGGAACAACGAAGCTGTGTGATGGAATTCGGGGGTACTAACTAGAGTATTTGGCAGGCTCATCGTAGTAAGACTTGGCATAGCGGGTTCGGAGATTACCAAAATTTGGCCAAAATGTGAAAAAGTCAACTCGTCAAAAGAGACTCACAAATAATATGCTTCGCGGTAGGACACATCCTGAGAGCACTTTACCACACCAACCAGGAAGGTCTAATAGTAGGTAAATCATGCGCTTCGTTTGGGCTACCAGACTGGGACTCTACGTACGCGAAGGTAAGGCCTAGGCTAGTCTTGTGGGGATAAGAGATGAACCGTGAGTGCGAAATGTACCATCATGGCAGCTACGTACCTGATACGGATGGAACCTGTCTAATGATCCTTCTTTCCCTAGTTAGTTAGGACATGAACAGTCCAAGGATGAAAGCGGTTACATCTGGATTAATACCTGTATGAGATATCGGCGGTGGAAGCCGGCTTGCTCATCCTTTATGGACTAAACAAACTGTAACGCTTCCAAAATTTGTCCTTGTGCGGAAGTTTAGTCTAAATATGGACTTTTGTTTCAGAGCAGTCAATCTTACAACGTCTCGGGGAGTGGCTAGAAGTCAAGAGGAAAGAGACCTCATAGGGCAGCCTATTCTGACCAGATGTAAGCGTACCTCCGCGGAGGGTCATCTTTAAATTGCGATAATTAAATGACGTACGCGGAAAGAAAGTGTCAGTCGTTCATCTGGACGACATATGCTGTTTAGACGGGCATATCATCTTCGAACCTGACGGGCTAGTAAACATCTGTCAATGTATGATTTGAAAAAGAACCTTCCGCATGTATATCTATTAATGGACCTCTATGCATATGACTACAATGTGGAAATGCGTACGTCACTTTCATCTCGTTTCTTCTAAGTCGAAATATAGCTACCTGAAGTCGAGCCTGGGTAGGGCGCGTATTCAATCGATCCTGGTAAGAATGTTGGCCGTTCATCCCGCCGCGCAGTCAGCACATGGTACGGAGGCACAGACATATAGTATGGTGGTCATATCGGTCATACCTTGGTTACCGATGCGTGTATCGGCGGTGAGATTTTCCGTATTCAGAATGGCGAATACTCCGAACCGTGTAACCCACAAAATAAAGCCTGGTCTCTTTCGTAAGATGATTCCAACAGCATGGGTGGCAATCGTTACTACGGCCATCATTGAGCTTGATTGAAGTGACCATCGATAAGAACAACTGAATACCAGAGCCAGATTTCTGGAACATTTTTGCAACTACAAGAATGACATAGGCCCGCCAATGATTTTGCTATTTAATTCCGTCTACTGTCACGGTTATGGTACCGCCGCATCACAATCTGGTATTGACAAGTACGAGAAGAATCCAGTCCTTCTGCTGGGACACAGATGGTGATAATAATCTTGACTTCGTTGGAGGATAGCGGGAGCTGTTGCAGAGGAACAACTGACATCTGTCATAGCGCGACATGGAAAATGAGTCGCGATCCGTTTCGCTGGGATGTTAATGCTGGAAGATGGGGCTAAATAAATATTGGAGGGTACCTGAATGTACCTAAACGTAGTAAATATTCTATTAGGTATCTTCGTGAACATGCTAGAATTTCCGCCCTAAGATTCTTTAATCGTGTGTGCTAACCTTCCCTGCAGGCGTCAGCGGACACAAAAATAGTCCTTCTCTTCTGCTTACGCCACTACATATTTCAGGACGGAGACGTCTTGATATGAACAAGCCGGCAAATGAATGATGGCCGAAGGGGATGTTGCCAGAATTCTTCGCCTAGAGTGCATTCAGGAACTTACCAAACTGCGTCCTTTGCTGCGACATTAGATCTGCGTGTCAACGCTGTCACACCAACATGCGGATTGAAGAATCTCGCTTATGCCGGGTCATTGTGAAGCCATTCGACCCATGGCCGTGAATTTGTAAGTCGGGCCTGCATTTGACCTAGCTGGATAACGTTTCTTGAGAAAGAGGGCCAGGAGAGTGAGTGAGAAACAAAAATGAAAAACTCGGGGACATCGCTCAACGTGTATACCGCCGAATTCGTGCCTTTGATCCCGGTATCAGTAATCCATTTCTCGCTACAAAACCAAGCAGAAATAAGGAAAGGGGAGGATTAGGAAACGATGGAAAGGGCTCAAAGAGCACCTGTCCAATGACATTTGAAGACTATAACTTGAAGTAGTGGTAGACTTCGCAGTTGATGAAGATACAAGTGCCTAGCCAGATGGCAGCTATCACTTTCCATGGAATGGCCTACGGCTTACAGTGTAATGTTCATTCAGTTCGATTATCCCGTAAGCGCAACAGCCATTGGTTACGACCTGAAGAGATCATCAGCGTTCAGGATCAAAAGAAAAACAGGCTACGTAACTTGACTTGCCCTCTGTTCCGCTCCGTCATATCAATTTGTTCCCCCCTGGCTAGCAACGCACTGAGCTTCAATGATGATACTCATATAATTCTCTAAGCTCTGGTATATTGTTCATTGTTGAATCTCACATGGACTCCATTGTTGCTGTCACGACTTTTGGCAGATGGCGGAACTGAATACAGGGTACGTAGCTGCACAGTGAGAACCTCATGGATTTTCGTGATGTTTAACTGAATCCCCCGGAAACGGCGAATTTGGCGGGTGCCCAACTCCAAGCTTCACATTCGCTAAAGATGAAACGGATACCTACTGAATCTGTGAATTGCCGGCGCTTCACTGGCAAATCCGCTGGCCTTGGAGGTATAATTAGCGAGTCAGCTGGAAGATTAGTCTCTGGGAATGTACAATTCAATTTCCAGCATAGACTCCTGGAGGACGTGATGATACCCTATAAATAACCAAGGGATGGGCACGGTGCGCCGTTTTACAGGTGTTCCCTCAAGTTCCCTCGGACGTGACTTCCCTACCAATTTATACATACGGTGAGGCATTACATTACGGAAGCCCCCACAGATAACGCAGATAACGCATCGAATGGTGGAAGAAAAACTTGGCTGGGTGAGAATGGATACAGAGCCTCTTCGTAGCGAAGTCGTCCGACGTGATGCGCCACCTATTATGAAAGAACTTGGACGTCAGTAGACTTTCGGAATGCAGAATCATATGACGGAATATCAACCAGCGTATCAGGAAATCATAACCGGGAGATCTGCAAGGTTCTTCTCACGGGTGACTTGCCGCGTAAGTATTACCCTGGCAGAGAAGGGTAATCAGGAGACTCTGAAAGCTGTGATTGTGGCTTAGCCGTGGGAGGTGCAATGGTGAATACGACACTGCGAAAGGGTGAGTTTGTGATGGTCACACAGTGTTCGAACTGATGAAAACAGACAGATGAAGGATCCCTTCCTTACAGGAAGTAAGAACATGCCTTCCATCGGCTCATCGTCCCTTGCTTGCAATGACTGCTGATTCTCGGAGAGAACAAACTAGTACATAACCAGATGATACCCATGCTTACCACCATACCCACTTGCAATGGCTGATAACGCAAATGTTTCTCTCCCCAGTATTCATGAACTGTTCCCAGGCCAGTTCTATCGTCCTGTAATTTGTCACACCGAGTTAACGGCGTCTATTTTGCAGACCACATGCTGCGCGTCTCGCCCGAAATTCGTGTGAAGGGCAGTGCGCCCCCGACACTCATTCCGTCTCACCCATATGTACCTCCCCAGCCACTACGCAAGCCCTCGCCCCAGGCCACCCGTTCACACCCTGAGGCCCTACCATCGCTTCTTCACCTCCAGTCATCGGACTCAGACGAAGATGAAAGCAAGAAGCATATCTGCACCTTTTGCAAAAAGCGATTCCGTCGGCCCAGTAGCTTGAATATTCATATCAACACACACACGGGTGCTACGCGTGAGTTTATCAGCTTTCCATAGATATACTATATTAAAGGCTACCCACGAAGCGTATCGATGCTCACTTCCCGGATGCGGCAAAGAGTTCAACGTCAAGTCAAACATGCTCAGGCACTATCGCAGCCACACGAACCCTGTCGCAACTCAGTCTTCTTCCTCTCGCTATGACTCTCCAACTGCGAATCCTTACCCTAATATCCCCTCTTTATCGGCCACGTCCTTCGCAGTAGAAGGACAGGACCAGGCTAGAGGTCAGGTTCAAAGCCACCCTTCGCGATCTTGGCATGATGGCGCACAGATGGAAAGAGAGAGGCATTATCAGCGTCGTTATTCGGTGAGTAATACTCGTTCGCAGCGAGACGAGGATGAGAGAGATAAGGAGATGGATGCAAGTCGTTCCTATGCGAGACACAACTGAAGTGCCGAAGTATGTATGGTTCTTTTCGTTCCTAATAATAGGTTGGTACAGAAAGATGATTGATCTTGGGCTCGAGCATGCCTAATAGTTAGGTCGGTGCATGTAATACTTGTAATGCTAAATTATTTCCCAATGCAGACAAGTTACTATCTGACAAACTCACCATTCCAGATGGCTCAGAATCAGAGAGAGCACGAGAAAATTCAGGCACGGTCGGAAACCTAGCGGGATCGACTTGATACCTTGGGTACTAGGCGACCCGGGATGTAGCGCCAGTGAAAGGAGTGATTGACTCACGTTGACTGCACGTGCATGACGCGTATGTGGCTAATCAGAGCCGCGGACTTTGAACTTGAAAGTCTAATTTCTCTATCAGATGCGTGAGAGAGCCTATCGGCCAGGCGTATCACGTACGTTTCTATTCCTAGGGTCCTACTATATTCCTTCCCCGGGCTGATCTCGACCCTGTTTGCCGTCGAATGAACGCTAACTTCGGAACATTGGAAGGCAGATTTAGCAGGTGAATAACCCCCTCGCGTTGCCTCTTACTTGGAGGCTGAATCTCTGATTGACACTGGCGCAAATCAACGAACCGCACGCTCGTATACAATGACGGTAGCCCACTTACAATACGAGGGCTATTATTTGGTGACTACCCGTTCGCCACAGAAACCCATTGAGGTTGCGATGCACTCAACCTGGAAAGAAAACACGCTCTGTCAATACCGATAGCTAACTTACATTGTCAAAGAATCTGTCCCTCTGTGTATATAGATTCAAAAAACATACAGAAGGCTCCGCGATGAGATATATTCCCTTGTGATTCAATAGGGACGTCTGAGCTCTGCGGTAGTTGGTCAGCGACATGAACACTTGTGTACAAGGAGGGTATTAAGCCGCGTACAGAGTATAGCTATTGGACGCATTACGAGGCAGCTGAAGAAGTTCTTTAGGTGGCATCCGCCTTTCCTGTAAGAAGGTGAACTGCAGGAAAGCAAATATTCAAGGATGATACCGGCATTCTTATTACGGGGAGCTGGCAACCAACACGGTGGACCGAGGACTTCCAATAAATCAAAATAAGAACCCTAACTGATGTGGGCAACTAGCACCGTACCATTTACCACGAAAGTCGTAGAAGAGATAAATCCGTGAGGAGTATGAACTGAACTGTCATTGGCCTGAACTGGGGACGCGCCGATGCAGTTCAACGTTGGGAACGATCAATGCATTTCCCTGATAAGCGAGGGAATTGCATCAAGTGGCATACAAATAGGCGCCTTGCACGATAAGCCGAGGATTGCCGTAGGGACGGGAGTAGAAGATACCAGCCCAATACTCCACCGGGAGTGAGAACAAGGCCGTATGGAAGGAGTGTCGGCCTCGTAGGGCAATGTCAGAGAATAGTAATAGAGAATGGAGCAGGCACCGCATGTTGATCAGAAAACAAAAAGATAGGACGGCGAGTACCTGGCATCGGGATTCGGAGCGAAAGAGGGTCGTCGGTGCCTTGATCAGGAACCAGGAAAGTCGGCAACAAAGATAAGGTGCCCTTCGAAAGACAATGCGCAACACTGGTGACAGGACTTAACGAAACGTTCCAGTACGACGAAAGTACAACGATACTGGCCGTGCGCTGTCGAATGGTAAATGACAAAAAAAGATACCGGTAATCATCACGCCAGCCTATCGGCCTGAAACAACACAATGTAGCCGCCAAGAGGTTCGGAAGCACTCGCAGCTATTTCGCTACCGAAAATGATGGTCACCGCTCACCCGCCTCGATAAGATACCCTAGTGACCGTAGATCTCATACACACTGGAGAACAGTGCCATCGAATCTTTTCCCAGAGATTACTAGACATCCTCGTTTCCAATATGGATTGCGATGACGCGAAGCGATTCCAAGAGCTGTTGTATGCAGTTACCGGTGGCGAGAACGGAAGAGATTATATAACACATGGCTATGGTCATTTTCATTTCTGACTTACCGACAGGTTGTAACTCAAAACCTTTCTTCGCAGACAAGATAGAACGAGTTGCGCACACGGACTGGAAATAAATGTGCAAAGTGGCATTAAATATGATTACCGATGAGAGGGATTCGAATCGACAGGCATATTCATAAGAGTATTAGGGCCAGATCTCTCGTTTATCTATGATAGCGGCTCAGCATGATGAATATTTGTATAGAAATGAGCTTACCAGGGAATAATAAATTACAATCGAAGGTTGACAGCCAAGTGATCCTTGATACGCTCCGCTCGGAAAGCAATCACGCTCTGTAAGTAAAGTGAGGCGGATAGCAACAGGAACAAAAAGCACACTGCTGCACGAGGATGATGCTCACCTCAATATGAGCCGTTGACGATCGAGATAACGCCTCTCAAAGAGACTAGAATAGGGAGACTTTAATATATGTTACTGAATCATGAGTATTTCCTACCGAGGAGTCGCCTCACTACATCGGCAGCAGAATGAAGACTGTCGGTCAATATCATCAATTGTTGATAAACTGAACGGCGAAACAGAAACATTTTCGCTCATCCAAGTGATACATCCTTCGAAAAGAAGCGAAAACTGTCTTCAACAGACAGAAACAGGTCCAAGGAACAGCCAGGGATGCGCTCCGTGTGTCAACGTAAACGCCTAGTTAGAGTTGAAGGTGACATGGATAATGGAGAAGACGAAATAGTACGCTTACTGTGGAATATTCCCTTATCATATACTGTTCAAAGGATTCAGATAAGGAAGCAACCATGGGAATTGAAGGCGACTGTACTATAGCGTGCCGATGCCCAATATTGGCATCGTAGTTTCTAAGCGAGGCGATCCGCAGTGACAGGATAATTGTCGACGGACACATGCTATTAGTGCGTATTATCAGCTTCTGATGCAAATATTTAGCATCGGAGAAGGAAGCGGAGCTGATCTACCTTACGAATTGAGGAACGTCATGCAACGGTTGCTGTCCTTGCCGTAATGGAATGAAAGATAAACATCGGGAGAATCCCATACGCAATAGCGGACCATGTCTGAAGGAGCGTGATGAATAAAATGGAAGAGACAGTCACAGTTCACTTTTCAATGAAGAGCGTGGGTGAGAATAAAATTTTGCATTGGAACGATGGCGACGAGGAAGCCGAGGAAGTTCAATATTCTGGTGCATGGGACGGGAGTTATGTGCTATCAGGAAGGAGGATCAGCGTCTAATTAAACTTCAGCTTTTAGAATAAGAAAATTCGACAGATATACACTCACCCGTCAGGACAGCACCAAGTCATAACACTCGGGAATCCACAAGAATCTGCCCGTAATGACCTCGACGACTCATGCAACTTGCCCGGTTGTCTAAGCGACAATTGGAGGACGTATGATAGAATGTTCACGATTGGAACTCCGAGAATGCTCTGCGGGAGTAGAGCATGTATCTGGTCGGGTTTTGGCGACGAGGGGCTTCGGCGGGTGGGCGCTCGCTCGCCGGGGCGTCTTGTCATGCCTCGTGCGGGGGATTGGTGCGGAGTGTCCTGCTAGGAGTGTAACGTTGAGGCGGGATGGTCAAATGAGCCTGCTGAGTTTTGAAATTGGCAATCAAGGACTTGGCCCTTAATGGGCATGGCGAATTTGGGGTGTATGCGATGCGTCTGTGAGCTTGGACTTCCGTCGACCTCAGAAACTGGACTTGAGAATTGTCCTGGAGGGATATCAAAAGGAAGCGTGATGGCATGTTAACCACCACCTAGAGCGCGGTAATTAACATACGCAGTCTGCAGCGCGATAAGACGGACGAGACGGATACTAACCTGCCCTGGCCTGATCGGATGACGGAACGGGACTAGCTGTGCAGGTCCTTCGGAAAAGCTGACGACGCGTTGGACCTGGCGTTGACGAGCATCTGGGCGAAGAAGAGGGATGACGATACGAAGATGTCATCCAGGAATCGCCACCTAATCACCCTCAGTAACGAGTTACAGCGGTTTTCATAATTATGTGGAATTCCGATTTTGAAAAATTATGTGGTCGTATTTGGATCGCAAGGCCCCGGCCCTTTCTCTTCCCACCACTGTCGCGCCGTGCGACGACGGCACGACAGTATTGTCTATTTTACGATGTCTATATTGTATTTCTGAAGACCTCAAGATGTTTATCAACTGCATTCTGCAGCCTGCTCCTATGACATGGCATATAGCGACGTTGCACTCTTCAAGCAGGACTCCAAGTGAGGCAAAACCTTCAAGAATCCAGCCTTTGTCATTCTGTGCTTACTCCATATACGAAAGTGGCATCCTCAAGCACTACATGCTGCTATACTCATCAATTAATATTGTTGGACCTAGCATCTCCATATCCAGGTGGTATCAGTAAGCTTCGGTCTCTTGACTTTGTCAGACTCGACGTCTGTCCTGTGCTGGCAATCCTTTGGTATTAGCAGCGTACTTTGACCTTACTACATGGGAAAAGGTCTTTCATTGATACATCCTAATCCAACAAAGTATAAGTGCAGTATAAGGTACATAAATGTGCTTTTTGAATGTAAACCAGTGAAATCGTGTCAAAAGGCGGAGCGCTGCGCGTACCGGGCCGACATGCGGTGCAAATAGGACCACATAGATTTTCAAAACGGGAATTCCACATAATTATGAAAACCGCTGTAAGCTGGATAGGAAACAACCTGAGCTCACCAGAATGAAAATATCTTTACCCAACCATGTTCATCTGTGCTCTCGGGGCCTTCGTCCATACCAGGTTGATTGATCTGTGATCTGCAGGAGGAGAGATACTATGCGTCCATTTCATCGATCATCGATAGGCGACTTTGAAGCGGTTGAGTTACAGGATATGGTACGGATATAAACAATATAAGTGAATAAAAATCACCGAGGACGCAGCCAACAAAGTTGACCGTGTTGAGGTCGGGCAACGAGTGAAAGAGAGAAGAGAAAGCCTGAAATTTGAAATTACAAATACCGGCAATCAACACATTTGGATTCCAGACCGGCCCTAAACTACGCTTACTAGAGGAGCAACAGAGGAGCACTAATCTTACAGCGCTTCCGGAAAATAATGAGAATCGACAGAAATGACGTTGTCATGTTTGCTGTGTGAAACCACCTTGTAAATACTCTTTTGGGTATATACATCGTTGAACCATTAGCCCTGAGC